AAAACAACTACAAAGACACAAAACAACTACAAAGAGAAACAAAATGACTACGAAGTTCAACAAACTACTACATAGAGACATAAAACAACTACAAAGAGAAACAAAATGACTGCGAAGATCAACAAACTACTACATAGAGACACAAAACAACTACAAAGAGACACAAAACAACTACGATGATACACAAACCAACTCTAAAGAGTCACAAAACAGCTACAAAGTCACACAAAACAACTACAAAGACAAACAAACCAACTGCAAAGAGGGTTAAGTGAACCTCACTGCAGACTTGAAACAAACCAGTTTCAGACAGACAGGCCTGACATGGTCTGAGTTTGATTTGCTTCAGAGCAGTCTGAGTTCTCTTGGGATATTCACATATGCACAAAAAATGCTGAGACACTGCTCGTTTAGAGGCATGAAAAGAACCAAGTGTGAAAGCACCCTTAAAAAAGTCTCTCCTCACTTTCATGTTCTATCATAATTTCATAGTGTTTGGCCATGTTTGAAATGTAATGCTTTATGTGCACCACCTGCTCTCCTGCAGCATTCAGGATATGTTTATGACTCTCACACCAAAAATGGGCCAGTTATTTTGGTATTGATTTGCTTGTGCAGAACATTAAGAAGTGACTGGTTGGTATACCTCTGCCTGAATGTTGTCTAGCTGTGAGAAGTTGATATTCCGGCTGAAAGATGATTCCTCCATCTCCTCTCTGAGGGAACGAATCTCAGTCCTCAAGGTGTGTTCCAGTGTTACAGCCTGAGTGGGTAGAGGATGGAAAAGTTAAAAAAAGGCTATTCATTCAATGAATGACAAAGTTAGGACTCCCTAAACCTGCTCGTCTGGATTCTTTTCCTGTCTGCTGACTGTGACGTGACATCACACATATGCAGACAATCCCCCTTTAATAGCATTGATGTTTTCTGAGGCTTGTTAAGGCAGGATTAAGTCTGCCCTTTTACTGGTAGTATCACCAACCTCTGCCAGCTGCTCCACCAAGCGCTGGTTATGATTGGCTAACTGAGTCAGCTGCTCACTCTCATCCCTCCGCCGGTCACGGCCCTGGCTGTGATGTCGCTCCAGCTCAGCCCTCAAGGCGGCTAAATCTGCAGTCAGCTCTGCCTCTCTCTGCCCAGATGCCAGTTCGTTCATCTCCAGCTTCCTCTGCAGGACGTGCTTCTCCTGCTGTACAGCCTGAGACATTGAACGCAACATTAAAAGGCTTTATGCAACATGAAAATATCAGATACTGGAACACATGGACTGTTTTATGTCTGTTTTTTTGTTACTTGTGAAGTTACAACAAGTGTACACGTTTTCCAGGAAGCTAAAGTGTTTGAAGAAAAGATTAGATTCAGTGATGTTGGTTCTTGTAAACAAAAGTAGGTCCTTTTCGCAGCCGACCATTTGACCTGTCATCGTAGGGAAAGCACAGGAGCTGCTAATGACGTAATGCTCTATTCTAGCAGTTAGTCATGTCAGAACCCTGAAACTGAAGCTGCTAAATGTGAAATAAGGCATCAATCACTTTATTATTTAAACCAGAGCTTCTCCTGTGACATGTCAAAATGTCCTCACTAATAAAGGCCTGTGCTGTTACTTTTACTCATCAGGGACAGATTCATACCTGCAGTGTAATGGACAGGAAAACTACTTACAGAAAAACCAGCAGTGTTCAAAACAACGATAAAAATACTACCATTACTGCTACCATTATTTTTATTCTACAACTTTTAATAATGAGAATAATATGTAAAAACATTTATCTATCCAAAATTGGACCGCAAGCGACTTACTAACGTGTCAAGTTTATAAAAAACACACTTCATTTTGAAGTACAGTGAATTTCTAGTGCAGAGCTTTTACTTTTGAGTGCCATTTCCTGCTGTAGAGTGAGTGACAGAGACAGAAAATCAGCTCGACAACATGGCCAAACGCAAGTATGACTGTGCATGTATCAAACTGTGCGGACCTTGAACTAATGACTAAGCAGAAATCTGGACTCTGAGGCTGGTCCAGCTGGAAACCAGTGGTCTAATTGTTTTGTTCCTATGTCAGTGATACTTAATTTGCAGCGTGGAGGTCAGATAGGGTGCGAACTGTGAATCGCTCTCTGTCGGGGTCATCCAAGCAACATTAGTGTCCCTGGTCTGTGAGATATGCAGATGTGCAAATGTGGGACAAGTATATAACAATTCTAAAATTATAAACTAAAAAAATATAAATTTGACATAGGAAGTAAATGTGTTTATTCTCTTCACAATGTTTGACATTTGTATTTCATTTAATTTATTTATACAAGAAAGGAATTAAAAGTAACCTTGTGTGCTACAGTTAAAACTGGCCTGACTCAGTTAAAAACTGGTTTTCAGCAGGTTCCTGTCATGCAACAAAAACACATTACAATACAGTATAAAAACAGAAACACTCAACAGAGACAAAACAACAAAATGTAGGCAGCTATGAAGAGTGAGTAAAATAGGATATGGGATTTAAATCAGTGGTTGCAGGTCTGTCCTTCCATCAGATAGTGTTTGAAATGTGTAGTAGAGGTTATTGCTCTAATGTGGTGTGGCATCTTGTTCCAGATTTTAGTGTCAGTGTGACAAAATGATCTCTGACCATAGTTGTTTTTGTACGGCGGTACAAGAATAAGTGCATGCGAGACTGATCTGGTGACGTGTTGCTGTCTTGTGTTGTGACTTGGAAGTAGAGCAGTAAGTGTAGGATTGTTGTTTAGGATCTGAAAATAGAATTTAATGCCTAGATTAATTATGTAGTCAAGGCATTAGAGTTTGAGAGTGCAGTGCAGTGATGAGTCCAAAGACAGAGGGTTACCATGGCTCTTGTAAGCTCTGTTGTATAGTGTTGCTTGTGGATTATATGTTATGTTGTTTGCATGTTTTTAATAGGTTTTTGTGTCCTATGTTTTTGTTATCAGCGTTGGTCGAGTATGATAGGAGAACTGTGATTGGTGGCATAGATTAACAAGTCTTTCCAGATTTATAATGATTACCCTAGAGGCTAGAATCCCTCAAATGTCATTTGCTTGATCATGGTAAAAAGTTTTTGATGCCTCTTTTGTTCCCACCTCAGTATATTTCTTAGTAATGTTCGAAAGTTTGCACACACACTTTTCCCCAGCAGCTTCATCCTTACCTCCAGCTCCCTCTCCCTCTGCTCCAGAGAGGCTGCCAGCTCCTCATTCTTCTCCAGTAAAGCCTGTCCCAGCTCCGCCGCTAGTATCAGATCCGTCTCAATCCCTCCTCCGCTGTCACTGCTACCAAGAGAGGATGTGGATGACGGGAGAGCGAAGGAGAGTGACACTGAGGAGGACGAGGAGAGAGGGAAGAAGGAGTCCTCCAAGCTAGGGGACGGGAGACTGTCTTTCCTGGGGGTGAACATTGCTGATAGATGCAGGCTTCAGTCAGAGAAGCATTGTCCCAGGTCTTGGACTTAAAGTCACACAGGCAGCAGGTGGACTGGTTTTTAAATCAGGAATTCTTCTTGATGGTCTGGTCTGGAGGGGTGTGATGAGTTTATTTTGTAATCCAAAGTGTGTCTCTGCCAAAGTTGTTCTTCACTTTGGTGCCAGTGGTCCCACTGCTGGTATGATTCAAATCCTTTTTTCCTCTTCTTCACAGATAACACTGAGCGAGACAAAAGAGCTTCAGTAACACACACGAAAAAACACACCAAACACATGTGAAATTCAGGACACGTATGATGGCATGTGTGAATATCAGAGCCGTTGTTTTCTAGTAATCTAATCTCATATGGCCTTTAAGGAGGTCTTTTGTCTGACAGGTGCTTTTGTTACTCTGACCGAAATACCAGCTTATCTTTGTCCTGCTCCCCTCCCTAAATTCCAGAGGCATTGTGCACCACTATTTCCTACAAACACAACAAAGTCTCGATCGTTCCTAAAACAGTCTCTTAAGTAATCAGTTTTAACCAAATCGACAAGACACACCACACTTGTCCTCCTGCTGCTTTAACAAATACGGCCACAAATAAGGCTTGAAAAGACGCATCTGTCACATATTGTTATTTTCAGTCACAGCAGGATCGTGTCTCTAAATTCTGTCTATATAAACCAGATTTTGGTCACATTTAGCAACCCTCAGAAGTCTGAGTCTGCCCTGTCATTTCTGCCTGTAAATCTGACGTCACCATCTGCCATCTCACCTGCTATCATTAAACCATGCTGCATCTTATTTTAAAATCATCTCAAAGCAAAAACTCATTCCTACTTTAACATGATCTGTTGTCACTATGAGAACTAACAGAACCTCTAAATTAAACTATGTTTGACTTCCAGGGAACAAAAATGAAGTGTGTCTTACCTGACAGTTCACAGCCAACTCATACCAAACAGGTACACTCTTCCTGTTTGGTGAGTGTGTTTGTGTGTGTGTATGTGTATGTGTGTGTGTGTTGGGGAGTGTTTGCACAAGAGAGGCTGAGCTGGTTTCCTTGGCAGTGGAAACATACAGTATGTAAATACAGCCCGGTGGCTCCACCTCCTGAGCTGGAAAGGTAAAGAGAGCAAACAGAGGCGGACAGAGGAGGGAGGATGGGAACACTGGTGTGGTAGCAGTAAAATGCTGTGACATCTAGTGGCTGACAAGGGCAGGGAAACACACAGATTACCTCTGAGGAATGCGCTGCTGCAAAGTCCAACGCTCTGCTGCTTGAGCGAGGGTGACACCGGGTGAGAGATGGAGAGAGGGGAAGGTCAGGACACAAGCAGGGGTCTGTCTAATCTGGCCCTCCTCCTCCTCCTCATCCCACATCCTGTTTACCTGCTTGTGGGATTTGAAAGGCTCTCTGTGTGTGTGTTCATGTGTGAGACAGGGGGGTAGGGAGTGTAGAAAAAGGGGCTGCCATCAGTGCACCTCCTTCTTAAAGACGGCAAACAGACAAAAGGGAGCAAAAAGCCCTCAAGACGTTCACTGAGCGTAAAATAAGGCCGTTGGATAATTGCGTGCGTTCACATACAGACATGCCTTGCAAACTCTGGCTCGCTCTTTCGGTGTGGCTTCTGCTGCCAACTTCTGAAGCTGGGAGGCAGATGCCAAAACTTTCTGACAAGAAACTCTGCGCCGACTCTGAATGCAGTCGTAAGTAGCACACTAACTTCCTTTTGCTGCTGTGCTTCGTTATGTTGTGATCATGTTGCACAACTGTAGGCAGGAAAGAAATGATATTACACATGTTGAGCTTTTAATCTGAATAGATATGACAAATATTATAAACTGTCCTCCATATGAAGCTTCCCACCTCACATCAGTCTCCTACATTCTTGCCCAGATCCTATCTTGATAGCTCGTGCGCTGCAGGACTACTACCCAGGAGACTGCAGGTTCATCCCCATCAGACAGGGGCAGCTCATCTATGTGTATGCAATGCTTAAGGACAGAGGGAACCTCTTCTGGGCTGGCAGTGTGAGTGAAAATATTGCTTTTGTGTATCTTTGTAAGACATCAAGAACACTTGTGTGGGTGCAGCACTCACATTCTCCTCTCAAAAGTGATGTTGTCAATACCTGTAGTCTTTAATCGTCTGTTTACAGGTACAAGACTCCTATTACGGACAGCAGGAGGCTCGCATTGGCCACTTCCCCAGCAGCATAGTGGAGGAGACTCATCCTCTCATGCCAGCCAACACCGAAGTCAAGACTACTGTAGGTGAACACACACACACTTCCGCATATGTATGTATTATATAATGCTTCTCCCTAATTCTACCTCTCTTCTTATTTACAGAAATGGGACTTCTACTGTAACTGATGTTGCATCGACCAATAAAGAGAACAACATTCTTGACTAAGACATCAGAGGAGCCGATCTTACACACATTGCTGACAACATATATGTAGGTTTGCTTATCCACACTGTTGATAATCTGCACTTTAGAAGATAAGGACGACAGCTCTGCACAGCAACATATGATTATAAATTGTAACCAGATTTTAAAGTGCTGAAGGAAGGACCATTGTTGCTTAACACCCTACATTTGACTTGTGTCTGTTTTATTCTCTGTACTACTTCATCATACCGTTTGTTTAGCAGAAAGGTGACATATTTTTTAAAAAGAGACAAATGTGAACTATGCATGCCTTTTCTCTGATCAAGCAATTTGTACAATAGCAGCTACTCCTTTTTCTTGGTGAGAAATGTATGCAAGTTAGCTGTTCCTTTCATTTGTGGTGTATAGAAATTGTCACCTTTATTAAAATATAACTAAAAGCAAACCTGGCAGCAATAAAACAGAGGCTTTTAATCATAATAACTTGATGGAAGGTTATTTTGTGTCGATACAAAGCTGTCCCAATCAACCCCACTCTCCCCTACAGGTGACTTCTGCATTAGGGTCTAATTCAATATTTTACAAATATTCTAATCTTGCACCATCTTTCTTTCTTTCTTTCTTTCTTATTGACACTGAAATAAAGCACCTGGATCTATTTTTGAAAGAATGATTATCATGCTCAAACCTCCATGCGTAATATGTGATGGTTATTGTCTTAAGTCAAAGACAAAAGGATGATTCATCAGTGTCTTCCCAGGTGTAGTGCGTGTTGTTATGTGAAGTTCTCTCAAAATCAGAAACACTTCAGACATAAAAAAAAGAACACACAGCAGGTCTATGATATTAAATTTCAACATTTATTCTATCTGCTGGGTTCTGTGTTAATATGCCAGAGGGTTGCTGCCAATATGAAGTAATGATAGAGCTGTAACTTTTGCATCTACAAGCACATTGTGCACTCACTCTCACATACGTTCACACATACACTTTCCTTAGCAGCTCAGAGGCCATGCTCCCCAGCGGAAAAGGAGCCCAGTGATAAAAAAATCTGTCCGTCTCCAAACATCAGTTCCTCTTTCGTCCACGTCTTTCCCTCCTGCTCATTTACCCAAATTCTGTCCTCTCAACAAGCACACACCTGGTCCCAAGTCCTTTGGTGGCTTTTTCTTTTAGTGAACAAACTAAAAATGACTGCATATGCCTCCAGAGAACTCCCACCTCCTCGATAGAAACCATTCTTAACGAACAAACAAAGCACATTTGGCATCCTACTCATACCCACTCAGATAATACTGTGTACTGTAGATACAATTCATTTTAATCATCTTCAGTGACAGTTTCAAGAAAATGTCTTTACATTTCCAAACCCTTAAATTGACTTTTTAGCATTTCAATCTAAAGCTAAAATGGTTTGGGTTCATTTAAGGCTGGGCAATATATCAATATTATATCAATATTGTTATATGAGACTAGATTTTGGATATTGTAATATCATTACTGATGTCTCTTTCTGGTTTTAAAGGCTGAATTACAGAAAAGTGATGTAATTTTCTGAACTTACCAGACTGTTGTCGCTGTTTTATTTTGTGCCTTTAACCACTTGGTCATTATATCCACATTACTAAAGATTATTTATCAAAAATTTCAATTTATTTGTAAAAGCACCAATTGTTAACCTTACAATATTGTCACAATATCGAAATTGAGGTATTTGGTAAAAAAATAATATGATATTTGATTTTCTCTGTATTGCCCAGCTTTAGGTTCAATTAATAAAAACAATTTTTCCACTTAACTGCATGGCCAGTACAGACTCTAACATTCGGAAATGCCTAATGAAGGAGAGGAAATGTCTTTCAATATATGATTACATGCCCTAATGTGTCATTTACATACACCGAGGTGCAAATATCTTTGGCAGAGAGGCATGTGATATGGACATTAACTCTCAGAACCTCATTATCCTGTGCCTCACCCCAGTGTGTCTATACAAAACCTTGTCAGATAGACTCTGCCACATGAGCTCAACTTATTAGTCTTTGGTTTTAAAGCACCGTTGTCTTGCAGAGACATCAGAATAACAGTGAGTTAGGAATTAGATACTGATTTATTAGAAGGCACTTGCACTTATAGACATCTAGACCTGTATGCCCCACCTACTGTATATATGAATTAAACTGCCAACATAATAGTAACAGGTTAAATATAAAAACAGGCAGCACTGGGGGTTAGTAGTGAAACAGTGTGAGGAGCATCAGATTCTGCTCTACATTTTCTGTTTTGGTGTTCCATCTTCACAGGAGATAGGAATATTGCGCTCTGTGCTGGAGGATGACCGGGGCGCAGTGATTGTAAGGATACCATCGACTGACAGACAGGAGGTGACTTCGGCACATGACACGCCGGCAGGAAGCTTGTACTTCCTCTCAAACTCCCTTGACACAAAGCCGTGGTCGTCCTGGAAACAGAATCAGAGTCATCATATCATATGAGTAAACTGTCGCCAAGTCAACTTTGTTTAGACTATTTCTGCAGATCTCTGTGGCCTCTCTGACCTGTCTGCCATCGTGTTTGCCGTGTATTATGATGTACTCGTCGGTGACACTGACAGACAGCTCTTCGGGTGAGAAGTGCTTCACATCCAGATAAATGACGTAGCGATCCTTTTCAATGCGCATCTATACAGACAATACAGCAGTTAGGAACACATTGTGTTGCATGCCTCCAGCCTGGAGGCGGCTGGGTGCAAAAAAACAAAATAGTTGTTGTTTTCATCTCAGTGCAAGGCTCAAGTAGGTACTAAATAATACAGACACTGGCATTAGTGCAAGAGGATATTTATCAGTGGCATATTTGACTCAGTGATGTAAAATCATTGAGACAAATCTTACATATTAAATCTTTCTGTGCCTTTGAGTGCATCTAATGGCCTGTCACATCACTCTACACACTCCAGTATATTAGATATTAATCATGATTTTAAGTAGCAGTAGAAGAGATATTGGTGATACTTTTTGCAGTTAGCAGTAAACTCCATATTTCAGATTAATTCAAGGACGCAGGTGAATTTTACTTTACCTCACTGTGTCCATTGTCAGGCCAGTTGAACCAGCGCAGGAATGAAGGGCGCATCCAGGGGAAGGACCAGGGAAAAGGCCAGTATAGTGGCCAATCGGTGAGAGGTTCTGTCAAGGGGAGGTCAGAGAATCGAAGTGGGAAGCCCCGGCGGTACCAGGGGTACTGGATGGGGATATCCATGATGAGATTCCAGAGGAGTTGTAAAAACGATGAGTAAGACAGAGGAGGCCTCTTGGTTTGGACTTGGTCTGAGATGGGTGCTGCTGAACTCTCCTGCACCACATTTATAGGCCTTTCCCTCCCATCCCACCCGAGCTTTGGCTCTGTTCACGTCCTCTGCATCCCCCTCCCCTCCGTAACCCTCCATGCACACTGGCATAGTGACTCTGCCAACAGGCTGATCTTTCTGGAACAATGATGTCAACTGTTTATCCCCCCCATCACCCTCTTTGTTTCATCGGTCTGACTGTGACTGGCTGTCTCTCTTTCTCTCTCCCCCTCTCTCTCCATAACTCAGCCTCACTGTATATCCCTGCTCCCAGTCATGGGGCAACACTGGCTCGGAGTACTGCTGATGCCCCCATACTCATTTCCCAGGAAATGCCCCTGTCTGGATCTGTGTGTGTCTCTGTGTGTGATTGTGTGTGTGTTTGTTCAAGGAATAGCTGCCAGAGCATTAGCCTGCTGTGCTCCCAGTGCCAGAAGCTTTAGGTTTGTGTGCAGAATGGATGTGAGGTTGAATGGGAACTGATGAGTTTGTATGGGAGAGCATTAGGTGATGCTCTAAGCGTGTATCATTTTGCCATGAGCTCAGATGTCAAATATGAAGTCCTTTCCAACTGTCCAACAGTTGTGCCAAACCAAAATTTCTGTCAGTCTCTGCTTCATGCTTCCAGTGGTGTTCACTTATACACCTATGAAATCTACTCAATAAATGTGCAGTAACAATTTGCACTCGGTTTGTCTGAGCAGATTTCATCTCATGTCTTGAGTTAAGAGTAACTAAATTTAACAGCTATGACACACTAAAGCTTATTAGGTGAAGAATACCTAACACCTACCTAACTAACTGATCACTCATAAGTAGGTTAGCCTTACTTGAAAAACGGTCATACACAGGAGACAATATTTCCTTCATCCGTTCATTTTTCATAACCGCTTATCCTGGTTCAGGGTCGCCAGGGGGCGAGAGGTCGGGTACACCCTGGACAAGTCACCAGACTATCACAGGGCTGACACATAGAGACAGACAACCATTCACACTCACATTCAAATCAACATGCACTTTAGAGTTACCAGTTAACCTAACCTGCATGTCTTTGGACTGTGGGAGGAAGCAGGAGTTTATTTTATTATTTTTTTATGCTGCAGTTATTCCTGTTAACAAATTAGTAGAGTAGGTATACTGTACCCATTATTAATTATGTCACTTACTGACTTACATAATTAAACTGGTTTTATTTGATACCACACAGAATCCTTTTTTTACAGTCTCCAATGTGAAAGAACTGCACACATTAAATATTTTATATGCAAGCACTGAGATTCTACATAAACTTTTAATCCCTTATGGCACCACAATCATGGTGCTTTCCGCTGCTTTCTCATTAAAATGTATTAAGTGTTAATAGTTCTGAGCTGTGGGTGTGTCTATAATTTTGTATAACTGGGTGTGTGTCTGAATGTGCTGGGTAACTTGATCACAGTTTCCTCCATAAAACAGGACTCGTGCTTGACCTCAGTTACAATCATCTGCCCTACTTAAATGTCATATTGCAACTCCTATGACTATTTACACTTAAAATGAGACGATAAATCAATGTAAACACTTATTTTCTAGTACCTAGTGAGACTACTGTATGTCAGAGTCACTTTACTTCCTGTCTGTTTAGAGTCGTTGCCATGGTGATGCACCTTGCCCCCAGCAGCCTCGAGCAGTTTGTTGTGGGATATACGTTAGCTAGTAGAAATGCGTCAACGTTAGTTAGTTAAAGTTGCCGCTGTGGCCGCAGAAATGGACCTACCGGCTTCATATTACGGGAAACTTGATAAAAGAAACCCAGTTGTTGTAAACGCTGAACGAGACATTAACTCGTTTATAACCCTGATGAGACGGGTCGCTTCTTCCACCAGCCATGACAACGGCTCTTATGCTAAAGGGTGAGATAATTAAGAGCACGCACGGCGTTAGCTTGCTGCTAATTAACGTAACGGTTAGCCGGCTAGCTTAATGCAGTTTATTCTCCGTAAAACTAAGTTAAGCTTTAAAGTGAACGAAACAGTTCGCATAGCTACACTATAGGAAGCTGTAACTTACCTCAGAAGGAAAAAAGTTGTAGCTAAGTTATTCATAGTCTAACATTATTTAGTCATTATTAAGCAATTTGTTTAGGTTATTAGTCATAAGTTATCAAACAGGAAGGGCAGGCTTCACTGTTGACGACAGGTGCGTAGCTAACACAAGAGCATAACATTGCTGTGGGCCCCCATTTTAATACTACCCCAATTCCCCAAAAAAGTTGGGATGCTGTGTAAGATGTCAATTAAAACAGAATGCAATAATTTGCAAATCCTTGTTGACTTATATTCAGTAAAGCACAATCCAATGACAAGATGTTCACTGTTGACACTGATAAACTTCATTGTTTTTGGTAAATGTACACTCATTCTGAATTTTATGCACACAGCATGTTCCAAAAAAGTTTGGACAGGGGAATGTTTACCACTGTGTAACATCACCTTTTCTTTAACAACACTCAGAAAACATTTGGGAACCGAGGACACTAACTGTTGACATTTTGAAAGTGAAGTTCTTTCCTATTCTTGCTTGATGTACAACTTAAGTTGCTCAGCAGTCTGGGGTCTCCATTGCTGCATTTTGTGCTTCCTAATGTGGCACACATTGATGGAGACAGGTCTGGACGGCAGGCAGGCTAGTCTAGTTCCCACACTCTTTTACTATGAAGCCACACTGTTGCAATATGTACAGAATGTGGTTTGACATTGTCTCGCTGTAATAAGCAGGGACGTCGTTGGTAAAAACTTCATCTGGATGCCAGCACATGTTGCTCCAAAACCTGCATGTTCCTGTCATCATTCATGGTGCCTTCACAGATGAGCAGGTTACTCATGCTGCTATGGGCATTAACACACCCTCATACCATCACAGATGCTGTTTTTTTTTTTTTTACTTTGAGCTGGTAACAGTCTGGATGGTCTTTGTCCTCTTTAGCCTGGTGGACATAATATCCATGATTTCCAAAAACAATTTGAAATGTGGACTTGTCAGACCACAGCACACTTTTCCACTTTGTGTGAGTCTACCTCAGATGAGCTCAGGCCCAGAGAAATCGGTGCATCGTCGTCTTAATTTTCCTTTGTAGATACAGTGATGACCTGTGCTTACTGACAATGGTTTTCCAAAGAGTTCCTGAGCCTGTGTAGTAATGTCCTTTATATAGTCATGCCAGTTTTAGATTCAGTGCAGCCTGAGGGGCCGCAGGTCATGGGTACTCAATGTTAGTTTACAGCCTTGCCCCCTATGTAAAAATTTCTCTGAAGCTTTTTGACAACACAATTGTGTGTTGAGGAAGATTGTTTTTAAACTATTGGACTGTTTACCCATGCAGTTTTTCACAAAGTGACGCTCCTTGCTTGTGAACAACTGAGCCTTTCATGGATGCCCCTTTCATACTCGTTGATGATACTTTAATCTGTTACCAATTAACCTGTTTCCCTGTGGAGTGTTTTTTGAGCATTTCTCAACTTTCCAAGTCCTTTGCCACTGTCCCAACATTTTTTAGAATGCGTTGCAGGCATCAAATTTTGAATAAGTGTATTTTCACAAAACACAATGAAGTTCATCAGTTCAAACATTAAGTCTTGTCTTTGCATCTTTGCACTGTATTCAATTTAATATAGATAGAAAAGGATTTACAAATCATTGCATTCTGTTTCTTATGTTTTACACAGTGTCCCAACTTTTTTGGAATCTGGGTTGTACAATCATTTTATATAAACAGGGTGCCTCAGTTAGGTCACCCTTAATACCACCTTTCCAGTAGGAGCACCCATTCTTGGCCAATTGTGCAAGCAGCATTTTTAAAAATTTGTTTTCTGAATTCTTATTATCTGTAGAGATGATTGCTAAGAGTACTTGTGGTCTATCAGGTATACATTCTGCAATAAAACAGGTTCTACAGTAACTTTGGAGCAGATTTTATATTACATACATAGTGAGTCAGCCATATTAGTATTGTCTTGTCAGTCTGGTTAATTATCAACTTTAATATTTGCCTGTTTTTAATTTGATTTTCATTCTGAAGGATTAAAGTCTTGGTGGAGATATGGAAAAAGTACAAACATCGATTGCCTTCGAAGATGTACCAGGAGCGCATGTTGCAGATTGCAGATTTTCTCTTTGGGATAAAGGTAATTGTCAGTAGCACTGCTAAATTCTGCTAATATTTGGTTTCCACAGCTGTAGTTAATTGCTTTACCAGTTGCATTTCATCAAAAATGTTTAATTCTAGCTTCATAATATTATCAGTCATTAACAACCTCGTCTCTTAATGTTGTCTGCCACGCCTTGCCTCTTCACTGTCCTCAGCATTCATCATTTAACTCTCCCAAAACTGACTGCAGCAATTTGCCCAGGTGTCTTCTGCATAACACCCATATATTGTTGGCATTATGTCTTTCTTCCCTCCCCTCTTTGTGTGTAGATGTACCAACTCGCTCTTTGGCAGGGCTACAGTCTCCACCTGCTGCAGTTCAGCTCAGTAAATATTACTGACATCACAGATGTGGACCACTTCATGGCCTGCTTCTTCCCTGATGGTTTTGATACAGACCAAGATACCTTTGCCATGAAGGTACACTGTAGTGTGTGAGCTTGTGAGCATTGAGTTGCTGTGTGGGATATGTTTGACTATTCACAGGACATGCTTGTTGTGCTTTGTTGTTTTATATTACCAAGACATTTTGTCATGTGAAGAAAGCTCATTGTAATTTTGAAATGTTTATCCTTGAACCCTTGAACATATCTACAATATATTTATTGTGTCTGTGCGTGTTTGTGTCTGTAGATACGTGCCATGCAGGGCTGGGCCTTGTGTATATTTGAGCAGGAGAAAAAGCACAGCGTTCTCAGCCAGGAGGGACTCTGTAAACTGCTGGATTTGCTGAAGTTCATCAGGATCATGATGCAGGCATTTCAGCAACATGAGCACCTCTGCTGGCAAATATATAATGGTATATTAGTAACACTTATGTAATTTGTCCAGTACTTG